GTGTCACCACCGTATTGTCCCTCCTCGTCCTCTCCTCCCATGGCGTGCTCGAGCTGAGGCTCTTGCTCCAGCCATGGAGACTGGCCGGCAGGGCGGACCCCGCTTATCTCTAGCGAGCTCCGGCCGCAAGGATCGTCGCTGCAAGCCGAGAACGGCGGATCCACCCTCACTGGCCCATCCCAAGCCACTCAGAGGTGGGGAACCGCCCCCTTCTCATCAGAGGAGTAGGGGTACCCGGCTCGAGGGGTGTTCAGCAGGGAGGGTGGTCTCAAGCACAGGCCATGGCGGCGGTTGGCCGCCATGTTAGCGTAGGAGCGTGGCTAGGGCGGTGGAGGTAGTGGCGGGAGCGCGACGTTGATGTCGTAGGCGAAGCTGGCCAGCCAATTATCTGCTCCGGCACTGCGGTTGAAGAGCGGAGGGGCCCCACGACACAAGGCTATGGTGCCACCGCCTCCGTTCCATGGCGGCATGGCGCGCGGGCGCCATCCGCGGCATCCGTGGCATATCGCGGTTTGGTGCCACCCCATGCACCTAACGAACATGGCGGGCCATGCTCAAGGCGCACGACGGGGCGAACGCAGCGTGGACTCGGGCGCGGCGATGAGCGGCGACCACCCTCTCTCCAAATGCGGATCCTTTGGAAGCGGCGAGAGAGAGGTCTGTGAAGGTGGATGTCGTGAGAGCGCGCGGTGAACCGCGCCTGCGCAGCATGTAGTGGTGAAGGCCTCCGGCATGGTGTCCGCGAATCATAGCGGTCTCCACGGTGTCGGTGATGGAATCCACCATGACATTCATGGAAGGTAAAGGAGTCGTCATCTTTTACCTTGCTTTGAAGGCGCTTACAACTCCGACGAGTCCTCCTGGCGATCCCGCCGCGAACCGCTCTTCTGTTCCTTCTTGTTTCGGCTTCGTCGGTGATGGTGTGAAGTCACGTGCATGATAACATGTTGAGCGAAAAAGTATCGATGGATGAAAAGTGGTGACACTCACGTCACATATGGTTTTTAAAGGGCTGACTAATAAGCATTTGTAGGCGGTTCGCCAGCCGCCGCCCTACCATGCCATCTCTACAAATCATGTATTTATAGGGCGGTTGGTGCTGAGCAGCCCCTACAAATCGATTTATAGGGGTAGTCTGGGAACACCAGCCGCCCTACAAATCGATTGTAAAGGCGACTACTGACCAACTTCAACTGCAACATAAATCATTTTTCTGCCAAAAAATAAATTTACAATTCAAATTCGACCAGAACATATATTTTTCATGCACAACTCCATAATGACTTATCTTCTTCTGCGATTGTACTGAAACTCTATGACAATACACATTTATTTATACCAAATTATAACAAATATTCCATGACAATACACGGTGCAAATTATTGTGCTTGCTGTGAACCGCTTCGCTCACACGCCTTTAACATCTCCTGGATCGAGGTGGAGTTGTCGATGAATGTGGACGCCATCTTCAGGCCCTTGGGAGGGATGTCGACACGCCTCGACTTCACGTTGTTCGGGATCCACTCCACAAAGTAGGGACGAGTTCTTGTTCTGCACATGATTGCAGAGATGAGATGGTTCAGGTCACCAACTGGCAACATAAAAAGCATGATTCAGATTCATATCTAAATGGCA